CCCCCATCCCACCCCACCCCAACCCCCAAGCTGCTGCATTGAGCAATAAGGCATAGCATGACCCCCAGGAAAAGAGAATCAAATAACCAAAACGATTAACTTCAAATCTTCTTGCTATTATCAGATTTATAGCCTATTTGGCCGAGCCGCAAAATCAGCTTATTTTGAGAAGTGCTTTTCTAAAAAATATTTTTGGTGAGAAGCAGTTTGTGTTTGGCTAATTAATTTGAAAAGCACTTCTGAGCAACAATTAGTGTTTGGCCAAGTTTTAAAAACTGCATCAAGTGTATTTTTTTCAAAAGTGCTTTTGGAGAGAAGCTACTTTTTTTGCGTCTCCAAAACTGCTTCTGCTTCTCCCCTAAACCACTTTTTTTTTTTTTTTTTTTTCTAAAAGCTTGGCCAAACACCTCCATTTTGAAAAAAATACTCTTTTTGAAAAAAAAAAAAAATTTAAAATTGAAGAAGCTTGACTAAACATGCTATTATTCTTGGTTCTGATTCTTAATAATACAACCAAAACTTTTGAATTGTCATAGAAGCAGAACAAATAAATATTTTTATTTTTCTTCTTTTCGGGAAACACGTTTAGGAATTCCATTACAACAATTGTTTAATCAATACATACAAATTGGTATTGTCATATCGACCAAAGGATCACTGCATTTCCTGCATTCATTTATTTGGAATCTACTATTTTCTTCTTCTTGCTTTTTCAAATTTCATGTTCAGTTAAATACCGTGATGTTAAATATTAATAAGAATGAATATATAATAAAAACTTGAAATTTTGTTTTCATTTTTTCGCAAAAAAGAGTTTGACAAATTGAAGTAAACTGCATTGCGCAATAAAGCATAGCCTGACCCAGTGGCGAAGCCACCTTACAGCAAAGGGTGTCAACTGACATCCCTTCACGGAAAAAATATACTATGTAAGCATATATATATATATATATATATATATATATATATATGCATATACATTATATGTTGACTCCATTTGATTTTTTTTTCGTATGTTTACTTTTATATATTTTGACACTCTTTAATGAAATTTCTAGCTCCGGCCCTGACCTGACCCCAAAAAGGGAAACAAAAATCAAAGAACGAAAACGATAAATTTCAACTCTTCTAACTGTTATAATCATTCTTATTCTTGGTTCGGATTTGCAATAATACAATATACCATTATCATTCATATTCTTGGTTCTCATTTGCAATAATACAAGCATTATCATTCTTATTCTTGGTTCTGATTTGCAATAATACAAGTATATACAACCAAAAAAATTCGAATTGTCTGAGAAGCAGAACAAGTTCTTTTGTTTTCTCTTCTTTTCGGGAAATGTTTTGTGCTTAGGAATTTCACTATATCAATTGCTTATTAATCAATAGATACAAAATCATAGTTTTTCCTGCCTTCATTTATTATTATTTCTGATCTGTTTCAAAAATAATATCATTGTTTATATATTTAGTAACTTTAAAATTTTAAACTTCATATTTTATTCTTAATGATATTCTCTTATAGAAATGACGTAACATGTATAAAATTACAAGATTGAAAGTTTATCTTTTGTTATATCATACCCACCTTCATTTCAAAATCATCAAATACAAAATTATTCTTTACGTTATTAAATATTGTATCCGATCAAATTAAGACACATTAAATGAGATAGAGCTATTTATCATGCTTTAACGTCCAAGAAAATGAGGGTTTACTTTTATCCACAAATATGTAAATGATGTGATTGCATTCTATCTCGTGTTAATTTGGGAAAAGTACCATTTATAGCGAGGGAATGAATAGTGCATCATAAAGTCACGTCAAAAGAAATTGAGGTTGATAAGACTAAGGTGAACATTATCTCAAGACTTCTTCTTCCCACCAAGGTAAAGGCGATAAAAAAGTTTTTAGATCTTTTAAGTGACATTACAGTGTAAAAGTTAGTTCACAAGGTCATTAGTTTATAAAAATTAAATTAAGAGAATATATGTTAATTAATTAATCATGAATAAGTGATACATTATATGATTTTTTTTTGGATTTCTCATACGATGTCCGGTACCCGCATTGAAACCCGATTATATTCGAATTTGCACTAAAATGTCTCACATTGGGGGTTAAACCGCTCACTAACAAGGACAACTTCATACCCAGGGCTCAAGCCTTAACCTTTAATTAAGAATGAAAGAGTACTTACCACCACACCACAATCTTGTTGGTAATATACGAAAAAATAACACTTTCGTTAATTTAATTTACGTTTAAAAAAAATCCCCAAAGTAATGTTGGGTTTTTTATGTATTTAATTATTATATTAAATACTTAAAAGAGGGTGAATGGGAAATGGAGGGAAATGAAATTTTTGAGTGAAATTTTAAGTTTCCCCCCTTGGTAAATGGACATTGTCCCATATTGGAAGAGGAAGAGATTTTTTATGGGTATATAAGGAATTGCTCTTCTTCTAGCTCTTAAAGAGTTGAGAAGAAGGCAAGCCTCGCACCGTGGTCGTCTCTCGCTCGTTCGGCTCAGCTCGGCTTCGGCTTCGGTCAAATGATTGATTGATTAACTTTTTGGTAAATATTTGTTTTAATAACATAATATTAATGGCATTTATGCTTTGGCCGTTTTGCATAAACAGCCATTCTGAAGAGTTGCACCTCTTCAGATTTCAGCCCAACTTTGGCTATAAATACAACACTATTCTGCTCAGAATTTGATTTGCTACCGAACTTTGTGTTCGCTGAAACACTGGGGTTTGAAGTATCACTACACCAATGTGTATACTAGGAGGGGATTAAATTTCTTAAGAAAACACTGTGAATTCAGTGGACTCGAATTGGTTTTCTGTTATTTCGTTGTTCATTTCCTATTTATGTTCATTTCTGTTTATGTTCATTTATATTTCTAAAATTATTTTACAAATACAGTATACTAACAAGTAACACTTCCTTTAATTGCATAGAGTTGCTCAATCATAATCATGTTGTTGGAGAGTAGATGTGATAAGTAAGAGGGATTAACCCAAAATAGCCGTCCACCTAATCGCTTAAACTAAAAAAGCCGGTGGATGTATAATATATGTATAGTTATATATTATATGTGTATAATTATGTATAATCAATGTATAAACTATGTATATCGCTATAAAAAGTAAACAATAAATATGGACGGTTATTTGTGTAAAGATCCCATGAGTAAAAGTGAACTGTTTAAATTTGGGCGATGTGCACAGATAGCCACTAACAGCTTATGTCTTTATTTTAAAGCCAGCGTTTTAAATGTCTTTAGTCTTTAGCCACTGGTTTAATAAACTTTAACTGCTCGGACAAAAATACCCTTCTGCTCATGTCCTTAACTTCAGGACTTCAGGACTACATGTCCTTAACTTTTGAACTTGAAACTCTAAGTTCAGGACTTCAGGACTACATGTCCTTAACTTTTGAACTTGGAACTCTAAGTTCAGGACTTCAAGGTTACATGTCCTTAAGTTTTGAACTTGGAACTCAAACTTCAAGACCAAGCGTCCTTAACTTTTGAACTTGTAAGTCAAAGTTAAGGACCTATTGTCCTTAACTTTTGAACTTGTAACCGTAAGTTAAGTACTGCTTGTCCTTAACTTTTGAACGTGTAACTGTAAGTTAAGGACTGTCTGTCCTTAACTTTTGAAACTGAAACTCAAAGTTAAGGACTGCCTGTCCTTAACTTTAGAACTTGGAAATCAAAGTTAAGGACCTATTGTCCTTAAGTTTTGAACTTGTAACTGATGTCTGTCCTTAACTTTTGAACTTGAAAATCAAAGTTAAAAGATTTAAATTTGGGAGAGTCTGCGACATTATTCTTTGGCTATGAATTGAAATCATTATTTTTGTTTCTTTTATTTTGTGCTTTCCAATTGAACCATGCAAGGAGAGCAGAAGGTCTACACCCTACTTACAAAGTTCTGTTACTAACTTTTGAACCATGAATATTGAAAAGTTCTGTTAAAGAGCTTTTGTCTTTTAATGAATGCTTACAAGCGATGTGCATTAGAATGACTGTGTAGATAGGCTCCGCCACCTCAACATAATGCTACAGTTATGGAGAAGGCACGGAGAGAGAGAAGCAAGGGTTTGGGAAGAAAAGCAAGGGAAGAAAGGGTAAAAATGTCTTTTCATATTAATTTTAATAGGGCAGTGGCTATTTTTGCTCAACATTAGAATTGTTGGATAAAAAATAAATACCACCTTAAATAGTGGCTACACCATGCCATTTCTACTTTAAATTTCAATACTATTTACAAGTAAAAATATTCGGAATTTGATTAAACAAAAACTCTATACACCAAGTAGCCTAGTCCTCAATGAAAAGCTTTTTTCACTGGTAGAAAGGTACTTCCGCCACCGTTCGAGGCGGCTTAGGCGGCGAAGGCAACGGCGGCGGCAGTTTCGGCAACTCTTCGACAACCTTTTCTGGTCTTGGAAATTGACATGGACATGGAAATGCTATGAATTTTGGTACTTCATCTCCTGGCATTAATACTGCTGGCAAAATTGTGCTTTGCTTTTGCTTCCAATTCTGAAAAAAAAAACAGAGTAAGAAAGCAAAATAAATCAAAGGCCGATAATTAATTAGGTTACATTAGCACATTCCAACATATATATATATAATGTAAAAATTTATACTATCACTAATTTTTAACCTATTAAAACGAATAACTTAGTTTTATTTTTCAGCTTACTAATCATACTTATTTAATTGTTCGTGCTCAATAGGTAGATGAAGACTAAAGTTAACAACATTTTATTTAATATACTGGTAGATCTTTCTTAAGGCATTTGAAACCGTAGTGGCGAAGCCACATCCCTTCATCGAAAAAAATATACTGTGTATATATAGAACTTATATTACGTATATAGGTCAATTTCTTTTATATTAAATCTTGAACACCCTGGGCAAAATTCTTGGTTTCGCCACTAAAACACGCTCACACAATTAGAAAAACTTACCATTACTCATAAGTTCTTGATTAATCCCTAGAATTTCCTAATTACTAGAGATTTTATAGTTTAAAATCTTTTTTACACTGTCAATGAATTTTTTTTACTTCCTTTTAAAATCTTGAATTTGCCTCTCCGTGGTATTTGGCTAGATAGATTGCAGAAGTAAATGAAAAACTTACCAAGTTATTTTGCTTAATTTTCAAAGAAGCAGGATCAAGGCCAGCTTCAAGGTCAGAGAAAGAGCGGCGGAGAGAGCGGAGCTTGTCCCAATGGTAACAGCAAGAAAATATGCCACTTAAGCAAAATATGAGAATCAACAAAACCGCAGTGCCCAAAGGGAAGCCTAACGACGGCCTAGACGCGTCCACATGTTGCGGTACATAATTCTGGTTCTCCATTTTTTCTTCGACAACAGCAACAACAATAATAACTAATTCTTGACTCGAGTACTTCTACCCGCATACAAATGCAAAGGAGAACTAATTAGCAAGAAATAAAATTCCCTTCTTATGTTTTAAAGGAAATAGTGAAAGAAGTGATGGGTTTAAGAGGAAAATTGGAAGTGAATTTGGGTTGAGTTGAGATGTGAGGGAAGAGTGTGGAATGGTGAATTTTATAAACAAGGCTGTGGCTTAAAGGTGAGTACGTGTAAAGAGGTACTGCAGTAGTCCGGGCCATACGTACGGAAGAAAAATATGGGGCCAATTTAGTTTTGGTGCCGAGCGGCGAGCGCGATGCTTCGGCACTGGCCCCATAAGGGGTCTGTTGTCGACTACTATTTTCTTTTGCTGGTGGAGCAAGTGTGCAACCTTCATGCCTTTTGTGCAACTTTGTTAGGTCATGAACTTGACGTTTCCGGGTAGAGGTTAAGTTAACGTTTCGCCATAAATTTTCAAATTTATTTGGATGAAGTTTGGTTTGAAGATGAAAATGTGTTTGGAAATAAGTTTTTAAAACATATTTTACTTCTTTTTTTGAAAAAATATAAAACATGATTTATATCCACAAGTTCTGAAAACTATCACAAATACCCAACAATATCTTTATCAATAACATTCATTATATTATTGCAAATCATAGTCCTGAACATAAATAAATTTGATACAAAATTATCATTTTTATAATGAACTACATAATAGACTATCAGATGACCGAGAAGACGAAGCAGCATTGTTACAAAATAATAAATAGTGGACTCTTTTATAAAATATAAAAGTTTGGGGCAATTTTTAAAAAATGTAATAGTGATATTTTGGGCCAAAACCAGCTCTTGAGCTGCTTTGGGATTTGGGTTTTGGGAGTTTGCCTAAATATAGATAAAATTTATGAACAAATATGTGTTTGCCAAAAAAATCCAAATATATTTTGGCAAAACCTATGGCCAAACGGGTCCTAAAGTTATCAATTCATTGTGCAAAAACATTATCTTCGACCTATCTAAGCTTTGATGGACAAAATTATTTAATATTTATGCTACTGATAAAATAGTCGAGGTGCACGCAAGTTGAGCCAGACACCACACCCGTAAGATAACTTTTTTGGATACAAGTTCAAAAGTTTAGTATGATTAACAAGGGAATATGTGCAACACACCTAAGTAATGACTAGTTTTAAATAAATGCTACACTATGTATGAGTTAGTAATTGAAAAAATATAATGAGTAATATATTAGAAGTATTTAAGTTACACTGGACATCACCAAAAAAAAGGTTACAGTGGACATGTAAAAACCTTTTTACAAAATCAATAGATATAAAACATAGGTGGCAATTTTTTTCCCAATTTTGCAAAAAAAAAAAAAAAAAAAAAAGGGAGATATGTGCCTGATGTTGTTTTTGAAAAAATATACTATTACAAGAAGTTTCGAAACTCATCAATTTTCTAAAATTTGCAAAAGGTCGTTTTATGCTTAATCATCTCGTACTCGGAATCTATTAGTCTGATTAATTTAGATTCAAGCCATATAAGGCTTATTTAAGGATGAAGTGTTTCTCACGACCTTTGATTGAGAACAAAGAAATTTTTAAAAATTAAAAGCTCAAATTTTTTAAAACTCTTAAACAAATTAAATTCTTGCAAATGAACAGATACGACATCTTGATTTTAATGCATCCAATTTTGGTATAGACATGCCTTGTGATACGATATCTTACATGTTACATTGGACCTAATATGATCGTATAATTGATGAGTTATAAAATCACATGCAAGCTATAACCAGAATTTAAATATAATTAAAAACAAAGTACACTTGTGAAATGGACACTTGTGCAAAGATACTTTTTTTTAAGTACTAGAGATCAAAATAAATGAGTATATCTTATATAGTACACTAACACGTCAATTTTGTTCCCAGATTTAAAAGATTCCATAACTCGTCAGAAGCATAATAGGATTGGAAAATTACCAAACAAGAAAAAGACGGAATTCTGATGAAATTGTGCAGAAGAAATTTTTTCCAAATTTCGTTGAACTAACTTTTAAGTTTTCCAAGTCGAGTAGTCGACTCTAGTCTATTAAGAGTCGACTTGGGGCACAATTATACTTTAACAAAGCTCGGTTGGGATTGGATTACTAAGCTCGGCTGGGCTAGGCTCGCTCGACTCAACGCCTATACATTACTTATTCCGCTCTTTTTATTGGACCGAAATCCTAGAATGCATATATTTTTTGAAGAATTAACCCAAATAGCCGCCCACCCAATCACTTAAACTAAAAATAATAGCTGGATGTATAATATATGCATAATTTATGTATTATATGTGCATAATTGTATATAGCCAATGTATAATCTAGATATATGGCTAGAAAAAGTAAATAATAAATATAGCCGGCTATCTATGTAAAGATCCCTTTTTTTTTAGTTTAATTTTTTATATACCGATAGTGTAAAATCTTTTCTTATTAGGTGAAATTAACCTATACTAACATATACGAGTAATTGTTCATGGTAACCCAGTCATAGTAATTAGGTTAGATTATATTACCTTGTAAATTCTTTTACATTATTAGCATGTATACTTTTATTATTATTATTATTATTATTATTATTATTATTATTATCATTATTATTATTATTGTTATTATTATTATTAAATCCACTTGACGTCAACTAGGGTAGTGCACTGTCAATTCAATGTTCTTCACTTATGCACTTTGCAACATTGTCCCCCGCGTTGTGCATCCATTAGTTTAATTTGCTGTCGTTAATTTTTATGACAGGGACCGTTACATTATTCTCTGCATTTCATCACGAAAAAGGTAGTATTAATTCATGATCTAATTCTAGAATTTTAATCCTTTCATTTATTTCTCTTCTAAGATAGTAATTAAGTAGTTTTTTTTTTTAATATTAGTATTGTATCCGAATTTTCAGTCTAATTTCTATTTTGATGATTGATTCAACATTTATAAAATTAAAAGATATAGGAAACAGTTGAGAGAAACATATTTCTTGCGGAGGATGTAGAAAAAATACAAGTATATTTGTTGCATATGTAGCTTGACTTGACTGATCCTGAAGAGTTGTGACCCTTGGGGTTCTTAAAGAACACAATAGAATTTGTATACATTAATATCTTATTTTCTTCTCCCCGTGACTATATTAGAAAGATAAAGGAAAAGGAGGCATGGAGCTTATCTTTTGATGACTTCATTTATTTAATTTTTTGAAAAATTAACGCAGACGCTATCCTTTAGGTGTGCATTAGATAACCTGTTCATTGTGCAATAGCTCGTAAACCATACAGAAGATTTAAACCGCACTACTCGGTACGATATCAATATCTTAGGATTTTGATCATTTAATTTAGACTGCATGACATTATAATTCTAGAAGAAAAGGTTAGAAGATCAACCTAAAGAGTAGGGAGCATGAAAATTGAAAGTACAAGCAATAAATAACATTGAAATGATATGTTTTAAGAGCATGAGTGGAATTTGTCTTCTAAACCAAACTTCGAGTCTCAACTTGGCGGAATTTAATAAAACTTATATGCCATAAAAGGAAAAGGTCAATTTCCACCATTTAAGATGAAAAAGAAGTAAAATATGGCGACTGAGATATTCAAGTTTGAAACGTCTACACAAAGTATCTTCTATCTCTCTTTTTTCCTAATAATCTAAGACATCGAAAGTTTGAAGTTTTCCTTTCTTTGGAACGCAGTTTATGGAATCCTCTTTAATTTGATTGGCAAAGAAAAAAGACAAAATGTACTCTCCCTTGTGGAGGAACTGAGGATGTCTGAGCAAGAAATCTACTGCCTCGTCCAAGTATGTCACACTAAACCTAAATGGATCCTATCTGCAATATATGCTAGTAATTCTTATCAATTACGTACTAATTTTTGGGAAAGCTTAATGAATCTGCATGATACTTTTAATACTCTTTGGCTAATAGGGGGTGATTTCAATGACATATATATGCACGAGAAAAACTTGGAGGGCTACCTATTAGTGTTAATAGTGTAGACAGATTTACCAATTGCATTAATTATTGCAAGTTAATTGACCTAGGTTTTAGGGATAGTCGTTTTACGTGTACTAATAAGCGTAGAAATGGCCACACAAGTCTTGAAAGACTTGATCGTTTTTTGGCAAACTATGAGTGGCTAAATATATACCCTGAGGCTACGGTACAATACTTACCTAGAACATATTCTGATCATTGTCCTCTTTTAATAACCTTAGAACCCAAAAGAAATATTATCAAAAAAATAATTCGATTTGAAACTATGTGGGTATCACATCCACAATTTCCTCAATTAGTACACCAAACATGGGCTGAGCCTCAACCTCTCATGGAAACAACTAAAAAATTTCAGGAAGTAGTCACAAATTGGAATCATTTGATATTTGGAAACATTTTTACTCGTAAAAGAAAAATACTAGCTAGGTTAGCCGGAATACAGTCTTCAATGCATTATCCTATTAGTTTTTTCCTACAGAATTTAGAAAAGCAACTGACTAATGAATTTAGTAGCATTCTTAGAATAGAAGAAGACTTTTGGAAGTTAAAATCAAGACTAATGTGGCTAAATGAAGGAGACGCCAACACAAAATTTTTCCACATGTCTACTTTAAATAGGCGTAGGAGAAATAGGATAACTTCACTAAAAGACTCAGTAGGTAATTGGAGTTATGACCATAATGAAATTCAAGATCTTATACTAAATTATTGCTCGAATCTTTTCACTACAGAACAAGACCACTCAGCTCTTAGTATTAATGAAACAGATAATTGTCTACTCAATTTTATGGATTTACAATCTTTAGATGAACCTCTAAAAGACAATGAAATCATTCAGGCTCTATACAGCTTTAGTCCTTATAAAACACCTGGTCCAGACGGGTTTCACCCTTTTTTATCAAAAATATTGGGGTGATGTAGGTAATAAGGTAAAGCAATTTTGCCACCAAATTTTTAGTACTAGACTTATACCTCCCTTACTAAATCAAACTTATACATGCCTTATACCAAAAGTGAGGCATGCTTAGACCCTCCAACAATATAGACCAATAAGTCTCTGTAATACCACTTATAAAATTATAACAAAAATAATAGTTAATAGGCTTAAGCCTATTATTACCAAAATAATAGGACCAACACAAA